ACACACACACACACACATACACACGTATGTGGAAGGAAGGGAGGAAAACTCGCGGGCGCATAAAAAGTAGGTGGAATTACTGTGTTATTCCATAGAATTAATCAAATAAACTTTATTTGGAGGCTTTCAGTAATGGTGGGCTGGGTATACCTTTTTATTGGGTAGTCAAAAGTAAGTTTTGGTATACTCTTCATACAATCCTTCAAAATAATATAATTCAGGCACTACCAAACTTCTTCTAGTCAGACTTCCACTCTATACATCAAAGTCATGTGCAAAGACAAATTTTGATTCAATTGTAGCAACGTTATCAGCTAGTGGCCATTTGAATGCATCTTGGATACCTTTCCTCAAAAACTGTATGACAGCATGTTTTTCGTCATCTACTTTAATTACCTGTCCAATAAAAAACATATTTTCATGCACCACAGTAACCCAAGCCCCGTATGTGGAAAATGTATACTAAGATCTTTGTATTTAAGTAATTCATTAAGTCTGAAAGAAACCTCAACAGAATGCAGAAAGCACCGGACGGCCGTTTAGTCCTATATTTGTGACTCATCAGCAGTGCACATTCACTACCAAGAATTGAAACCCTGACAGTTAGGTTGTCAAGCAAACATCATACCAACTGTTCCAACAGGCCTTGGTGACGGAGAGATTGCAAATCACTCAATATAGCACCACTCTCTCATATATTCTGTGGTGGAACTCTTACTGAGTTCTCTCTAACCATAGGACTGTGCCCCCTGGAGCCACGACTATTTTCACCAAGCCGCTCACTCTAGAGCGTTAGAAGCTGGTTCAAGCATGGTATACACAGATAGAAAATATTAGGAGGATTTGATAATTATATTTAAGTAATTCATTGACTCAGTGAATTACTTAAATATCATTATCAAATCCTCCTAATAATTTCTATCTAAGATCTTTGCATTTAGTTCTTCCAGAATCCAATTCCATAAGGGACTCTACACAGTCTTCATATAATTCCACTGGGGATTCCACATGATTTACAACTGCTTTCAAATCGGAGGCCAGTTCATGAACAATTTTTTTTTTTTTTTTTTTTTTTTTTTTGACCAAGAAGCATTCTCTTGTCTTTCAAATTGAGGATAACTTTTAAATACTTAATTTCCTTTTTGAAAGCATCCATTTCTTTAAGATATGTTGGCATCTTTTGTTAACAGGAAGTCAGCTTCCTGCCCTGATTTGCATAGTCCCCCATGACTTCCGACATTCTCAATAATATTTTTCTTTTTTTCTATATTTAATGCATCCAGTTCTTATGTTTTCCAAAAGTTTTCTTCTAATTGCTCTTTTATTTTTCCTTTCCTTCACCATATGTTTGTAACACCGATCTGCTGCCTGTTCATGTGATATTTTAATTAAATGAGTTTGTGCTTCCTTGGATTTCTGTGCAAGCCAACCACATATGGTTTTATTAATTTTTACCATCTGAATACCAGAAGGGTAGTGCATTGATGCATTTCTCCGTTTAAATTGGCTATAATCTAGATGGCTAAATTCATACTCACCTACTAAATTTGTGAATTTACAGTGCTTTAATATTTCTCTCTCTTGGACTGTTGGTTCTTTACCAAACTTTCGACCATTTACAAAATCTCCCAGTTGCAGCTCTGTCACTTTAACAAATTCTGGCATGATTTGTCCGAGTGCTACAATGATAATATCAGAAGTCTTTTGGTATTTAAAAAAGTGACTCTGTAACAAAGATATCACATTAAATCCTTTGAAAATACTGCTACCCTCACGCTTCATCAAAGGAGAACTGTCCACAGCCCATAATTTAAAATTGCAATGCATCTTTTTAATATACAAATACTAATCCACACATATTGGATATTTGAATTAATCGTTTTCCAGAAAGGACCATAACGATTCACAAAAATCAATCCCAGGGCTCTCACTAGGGCTTGCAGTATGTCACTTTTGGCATCATAAAAATACACTTTGAACCTTCATATTTTTTTCCCTTGTCACTTGCTCAAAAAATAAAGGATATGTCATCTGTAATGAAGTAAAGCAGCAGCACCTTTGAAAAAATTGTTAGACCTATTCATTCTAAAGCTAGTAATATAGGATTTAATTTCTATAACATCTGTACAAAATGCCTCCCAATTTGCCCTATAACCATTTTTTTCATCCCCTCTTGGTCCTAAAATATCACATGCTGTTCTAATATACCTTGCACTTGCTGATTCTCTATTGCTATTGAAGTGCTTAAATTTCCCAGTAGCATCTCTTCTGAGACCAGTTTCATTTCCCAGTTCTGACTCCTGTGTTTTTTATTACTGAACTACAGGCATTAGATAATCCTAAAAGAAAGTGTGCATTTCAATATAGAAAATGAGTATGCACATCTATACCAAACTGTCCCTCTTTATATGCAGCTTGTTGCGGCGTTAAGCAGGTGCTGTTAACCCCGCAAGCAGAAAAATAATGTAGAGTAATACGATCGAAGCAAGGTATCTCTCTCTAGCATAATTTGCTTATTCTTTTGCTCTATGAGGTTTGTCAACAGGGAGAGAATTGTCGAGCAGTCGAGGATGAACCTGTGGTAAAAATTTATTATACCGATAAATCATCTAATGTGTTTTGTGGATGTAGGCGTAGGGAAATTCCTAATTGCTTCAATTTTCTTGGGTAACGGTGTGATCCCATCTTCGTCGACATGATGACCTAAGAAATTCACCTGATGCCCCGAAAGTGCATTTGTCGATGTTCAGCCAGAATCCATAATGTGCTATCCTTTGGAACATTTCGTTTAGGTGTTGCTTGTGTATATTTTCATCTGTGCTCGCTACTAGGATGTCATCGATGTAGGCATATGCGTACGTTAGGCCGTGAAGTACCTCATCTATGAAGTGTTGAAAAGTTTGTGCTGCGTTCATCAGGCCAAAGGGCATCTTGAAGTATTCAAAGATCAAAGGGAGTGGTTACAGCTGTCTTTGGGATGTCCTCTGGAGCTATGTGGATCTGATGATAAGCCTTAGTTTGATCTATTTTTGAAAAGACGCGAATGCCCTGCAACACTGAGGCATAATCGTGTATATGCAGGACCGGATAGCGATCGGGTATGGTTGTGGCGTTAAATCTTCTGTAATTGACGCATACCCTAAAGTCCGTTCTTCCCGGTTTACGCATAAGATGTAGGGGTGAGATATTATATGAATCCGTCCTTCAGCATATTGTTGAATTCCTTTTGGTCTTATTATTCAAGTTTGTGAGTTGGAGTCGTCGTGGGTGGGAAAATGTTGGCTGTCCACTGGTCTTTATGTGATGCTGCGTTTGGTGTTTTGCCAGACCGGTACCCGCGAGTGGTTGAATGATGTCTAGGTATTGTTACGAACTTGTAGCATATAGATGAACCACGGGTTCTAAAAAAAAAGGAAAACGTGGTTTTTTTTCTCGGTCTTCACTCAGAAATGGAAGCAACACAAGGGAATCGACGAAGAACAGACACAAGACGATGGATTTCAAAATAAAACATTTATTTATAAATATATATAACGAAATAAAGAAAGAAAAAAAAAAAAAAAAGAACATTCATTTAACAAAGGTGGAGGACATCATTAAAGAATAGAAGGCGCGAGCGAATACATAGATATATGAAAACAGATCAAGCCAAACGAATCAACTTATCTGGCAGTCGGGTTGGTATCTTCACATAAAGTTTTGATTCGTCGAAGCGAGAGTTCTGATGATAAAACAGTATCTTGGCCGGCCGACAATGTTCCTGGGTTCTTCTTTTTTTCGCGAGTGTTCGTGGGTCCCCAGCATTTCATACAGGCATTTGGTTGGGTCGACCAGTCCATAGCAGTCCTTCCATCACTCGTCGAAAGACTTTGTGGTCTTCCTCATCTCAGTGGGCGGTCTGACGATTTTTGCCCAGCGACGTTCAACTGCCGCTGGTCAGAGGGAAACTGAAAAATCCTTTTTTTGTTTTCGCTGTCCCCAAAGACAGTCACGTAGGTTCCCTTCGTCCTTGACCGGGTACGCAGGAGGATAGGGCGCAAATCACGCAGTGCTTGTGTGATGGCCAAAAGTTCAACACGTGTTCAGACGTCCCGATCACGTGAATCGAAAGCAGGAGACCTGACGGTGCCTGGAATTCACTCATGGTCAAACGCAAAATCTTGGAACCAGGTCATCCTCGCCGGGTCACTAAGTTCACGGGCCCTTGGCTCGTGGGTGGGAGAGTAGAGAAAGAAAGAAAGAATTTGGGAAAAGAAAGGAAGGATATGGCTGATCATAGAATATATTCGTCATGAAGTTGGAAGCATTGGATTAAATTTCTGTTTTATTTATTTATTTATTTTTCTTTTATATCTAACTAGTTTTCCCTTTATTTAAAATTTTACTTTAGCCTAACGCCTATATGGTTAATGAAATTGTGGCTACGTGACAATATCTATTCAGGATCTTGACGTATTCTCGTCCATTGCAAGTTGTTACACTGATTCCAGTGGTGTTGTGATGAGAGAAGGTGCCTTTAACAGAAATGTTCATTGTGTTGTCTGACAAAGTCCTCATGTTCATATGCACAGCTAGGTCATAGTGGGCCAGGAAATCTGCTCCGAGTATTGGCGTTTTTACGTCTGCCTGGGTGGAAGTCCAGGTAAAATCACGTCGCATGCCAATGTTAAGAGTAAGTATCTTGGTTCCATATGTCTCGATCGCCGAGCTGTTTGCTGCCTGGAGCTTATACAGGGCTGCCTTTCGGTCTTGCTGTTCTCGGGTCGGGTATCGTGCTGATTACTGCTCCTGTGTCCACTAAAGATTTTATGTGGTTTCGTCAGCCCCATACGTGGAAAAGGCGGCTTTGTATGTTTTTACCAGGGGGTTCTGCCGCTCCTACCCGCCAGCAGTTTAGTTTTTCTTATTTAGTTTTGGAGCTGTATTTGCAGGGTGCTGAGCAATGTCTTGCCCTGGTGCTGAATCTGTGGTAATCCCAGCATAATTCTGGGTCAATTCATCTATCCCTGCTGGTACTCTGTACTCTCCATCGCTGGCCTCGGGCCTCTTGATTTGCAGGACAAGAGCATTCGTATCTCCTGCAGCTGATGTTGCAGGTCAGCTACTGCCTTTTCCAGATCTTTGTCTTTGGCTGGTGTGTCGTCTGGGCACTGCACGACATGGCCACACACTCTTTGGTCCAGTTTTGTTGTGATGTGGTCGATGGAGTCTGCTAACTGGTCTAGTGGTGTATTGTCAGCAATTGGCGCCAATATCTGCATTATTGTGGTGGGCAGCTTGTCCATCCACAGTTCACGCAAGATCAATTCAGCCATCGAATGTTTTTCTAGTCGGCTCCTCATACAGCGTAGGAGCTGTGAGGGTGTTCTCTCACCCCTGGTGATGTGGGTGAAAAGTTCCCAGAGCAGATCCTCGTCCAAACGGCCAGTTCGTTTTAATATCGCATCCTTAAGCCGAGTATATGGCTCCTGCTTGGGTATATGTTCTAAAATGTCAGCTACTTCGTCGACCACTGAAGGTGGCAAAACTTTTACTACGTTGGCGAATTTTGATTGCTGTGACGTTATTCTCCATACTGAGAAAATGGCTTCCAACTGCAGAAACCAGTTTTTGGTTTTTTCTTCATTATACGTAGGGATGTTCGTGAGTGGCATTGCTACATTTATGGGAGTGTTCATTTCGCACTCATCTGTTGCCATCTTGCTCGATCGTAAATATAGGGGTCACCACTTGTTGCGGCGTTATCCCTGCAAGCAGAAAAATAATGTGAGGGTTTGATATAGAGATAATGCCCAATACCAATGACGGGATTATTTGTAAAACAGAGCCTCAGTTCAAAGGGGAAAATCTGGTGTGGGTACACCGGAAGAGTTGAGTGTTGAATTGAATGAGAATTTCCAAGCAAAGCATTCAGTCTTGTTGGCAGAAAAGTTCAGAACCTCAAACTGGTTGAACAAAGAAGGTATAGAGGGTTTGCTTTTGTTAAGTACGCTCTAGCAGAGACGCCAATGATCTTTGGAACCGAATTTGTGAGATGCAATACGTTCTTTCATTTGAGCAGCAAATAGTGACTTTGCTTCATTGAGGACGTGCTTACACTCGTTACGGGCAGAGATAAAGAGACGCCTATTGCAGTCAGACATGTCGCTACGATATAGGTGGAAGAAGTAATTTCTATGGGCAATGGCAGCTGAGAAAACAGCGGAGAACCAAGAGGAGTAGTGTGATTTGACCTTATATTTCCTTGAGGCAGGGTTGAAAGCCTCGATTTCAGCTTTAACCCAGGAGGAGACCTTAGAAGCACATTCTTGGATGGGGAGCGTAAAGACAACATCTCAGTGAACATTATGAAGGAAATCCCTGAATGAGTCCCAGTCTGCTTGTTGATGGAACAAGTTTCTAGTGGTAGGAGGTTCTTTGCAGGGGGAGGGGGCTGAAGGAGATTCAATATTTTCTTTAGCACGAACTGAACATAGTCTCCCATATCTTGGCAAGCTGTATATATTGCCTGTTTGCTGAAAATGGCACATCAAACGTCGAATCATTGATTCAGAGGGTGGGATTTCTCACATTGGATTTTTGAAGCTTCTTTGTCTATGCCCCAAATCTTCCTCTAATAACTGTCAAAATCCACTCAACCTTGCCCTTCTCTTTTGCTATACATTTGGTAGGCAAAGGGGTTTTGGAGAATGGTGATTTTGGTCATCTCTGAGTGTAGCAAATGAGGCCTTTTATGGGAAATTCTTTGGGTCTTCAGCATCCTTATAGCAATTTTTTTTAATTGCCAAAAGATATTTCAAGTCTTCCCTCAAATTATATGGTGCTTTTTGCTGTTTTTTTTTCCTCTTTTGAGTTTAATGAGGGACTTCTAAGTTTCTTCACCAGCATACTTGCCTACTAAATTTGTCAATTTACAGTGCTTTAATATTTCTCTCTCTTGGACTGTTGTTTTTTTCTCAAGCTTCCCACCATTTACAAAATCTCCCAGTTGCAGCTCTGTCACTTTGACAAATTTTGGCATATTTGTCCGAGTGCTACAATGGTAATATCAGAAGTGTCTTTTTGGTAATTAAAAAAAAAAGTGACACTGTAACAAAGATATCACATTAAATCCTTTGAAAATACTGCTACCCTCACGCTTCATCAAAGGAGAACTGTCCACAGCCCATAATTTAAAATTGCAATGCATCTTTTTAACATACAAATACTAATCCACACATATTGGATATTTGAATTAATCGTTTTCCAGAAAGGACCATAACGATTCACAAAAATCAATCCCAGGGCTCTCACTAGGGCTTGCTGTTTGTCACATTTGGCATCATAAAAATACACTTTCAACCTTCATACTTTTTCCCTTGTCACTTGCTCAAAAAATAAAGGATATGTCATCTGTAATGAAGTAAAGCAGCAGCACCTTTGAAAAAATTGTTAGACCTATTCATTCTAAAGCTAGTAATATAGGATTTAATTTCTATAACATCTGTACAAAATGCCTCCCAATTTGCCCTACAACCATTTTTTTAATCCCCTCTTGGTCCTAAAATATCACATGCTGTTCTAATATACCTTGCACTTGCTGATTCTCTATTGCTATTGAAGTGCTTAAATTTCCCAGTAGCATCTCTTCTGAGACCAGTTTCATTTCCCAGTTCTGACTCCAGTGTTTTTTATTACTGAACTACAGGCATTAGGTAATCCTAAAAGAAAGTGTGCATTTCAATATTGAAAATGAGTATGCACATCTATACCAAACTGTCCCTCTTTATATGCAGCTTGTTGCGGCATTAAGCAGGCGCTGTTAACCCCGCAAGCAGAAAAATAATGTAGGGTAATACGATTGAAGCAAGGTATCTCTCTCTAGTGTAATTGCTTATTCTTTCACTCTATGAGGTTTGTCAACAGGGAGAGAATTGTCGAGCAGTCGAGGATGAACCTGTGGTAAAAATTTATTATACTGATAAATCATCTAATTTGTTTTGTGGATGTAGGTGTAGGGAAATTTCTAATTGCGTCGATTTTCTCGGGTAACGGTGTGATCCCATCTTCGTCGACATGATGACCTAAGAAATTCACCTGATGCCCCGAAAGTGCATTTGTCGATGTTCAGCCAGAATCCATAATGTGCTATCCTTTGGAACATTTCGTTTTTAGGTGTTGCTTGTGTATATTTTCATCTGTGCTCACATTAGGATGTCATCGATGTAGGCATATGCGCACGTTAGGGCGAAGTACCTCATCTATGAAGCGTTGAAAAGTTTATGCTGCGTTCCTCAGGCCAAAGGGCATCTTGAGGTATTCAAAAAGACCAAAGGGAGTGGTTACAGCGGTCTTTGGGATGTCCTCCGGAGCTATGGGGATCTGATGGTAAGCCTTAGTTTGATCTATTTTTGAAAAAGACGCGAGTGCCCTGCAACCCCGAGGCAAAATCGTGTATATGCAGGACTGGATAGCGATCAGGTATGGTTGTATGTTCAATCTTCTGTAATTGACACATACCCTAAAGTCAGTTCTTCCCGGTTTACGCACGACATGTAGGGGTGAGATGTATGGGTTATTGGAGGGTTATATGAATCCATCCTTCAGCATATTGTTGAATTCCTTTTGGGCTTATTCAAGTTTGTGAGGAGGAGTCATCATGGGTGGGAAAATGTTGGCTGTCCACTGGTCTTTATGTGACGCTGCGTTTGGTGTTTTCCCAGAATGGTACCCGCGAGTGGTTGAATGATGTCTGGGTATCTATTCAGGATCTTGACGTATCCTCGTCCGTGGTAAGTTGTTACACTGATTCCAGTGGTGTTGTGACGAGAGAGGGTGCCTTTAACAGAAATGTCCTCATGTTCATATGCACAGCTAGGTCATAGTGGGCCAGGAAATCTGCTCCGAGTATTGGCGTTTTTACGTTTGCCTGGGTGAAAGTCCAGGTAAAATCATGTCGCATGCCGGTGTTAAGAGTAAGTATCTTGGTTCCATATGTCTCGATCGTCGAGCCATTTGCTGCCTTTTGGTCTTGCTGTTCTCTGGGTGGAGTATCACGCTGATTACTGATCCTATGTCCACTAAAGATTTTATGTGGTTTCGTCAGCCCCATACGTGGAAAAGGCGGCTTTGTATGTTTTTACCAGGGGGTTCTGCCGCTCCTACCCGCCAGCAGTTTAGTTTTTCTTATTTAGTTTTGGAGCTGTATTTGCAGGGTGCTGAGCAATGTCTTGCCCTGCTGCTGAATCTGTGGTAGTCCCAGCATAATTCCAGGTCGACTCGTTGATCCCTGCTGGTACTCTGTACTCTCCATCGCTGGCCTTGGGCCTCTTGATTTGCAGGACAAGAGCATTCGTATCTCCTGCAGCTGATGTTGCAGGTCAGCTACTGCCTTTTCCAGATCTTTGTCTTTGGCTGGTGTGTCGTCTGGGCACTGCACGGCATGGCACACACTCTTTGGTCCAGTTTTGTTGTGATGTGGTCGATGGAGTCTGCTAACTGGTCTAGTGGTGTATTGTCAGCAATTGGCGCCAATATCTGCATTATTGTGGTGGGTAGCTTGTCCATCCACAGTTCGCGCGAGATCGATTCGGTCATCGAATGTTTTCCTAGTCAGCTCCTCATAAAGCGTGGGAGCTGTGAGGGTGTTCTCTCACCCCTGGTGATGTGGGGGAAAAGTTCCTGGAGCATATCCTCGTCCAAACGGCCAGTTTGTTTTAATATCGCATCCTTAAGCCGAATATATGGCTCCTGCTCGGGTACATGTTCTGAAATGTCAGCTACTTCGTCGACCACTGAAGGTGGCAAAAGTTGTATGACATTGGCGAATTTTGATTGCTGTGACGTTTTTCTCCATACTGAGAAAATGGCTTCCAACTGCAGAAACCAGTTTTTGGTGTTTTCTTCATTATACGTAAAGAGGTTCGTGAGTGGCATTGCTACATTTATGGGAGTGTTCTGTTCGCACTCGTCTGTTGCCATCTTGATCGATCGTAAATATCGGGGTGACCACTTGTTGCGGCGTTAACCCCGCAAGCAGAAAAATAATGTAGGGTAATACGATTGAAGCAAGGACAACAAAGGTGACAATGCATAAATTTGATGTCGGCAAAAAACCGTTAACTCATGTCTATTGTTTAATAGATTTTTATTATTTAGAAACTTAATGTGCAGTTTCTCATGGAGGCACAAAGGGCATGGTCATCCCAAGCCTTACAAGTTCTAGTCCTATTTATAATTTTCCATTTTACTTTAGGTGTCCTATTTCCTTCAGATGCCAAAAATATTTGGATAGGGAAGTCTGATTTCTTTCATTTATATTATTGAAAGAGCACTTATGCTGCCTCCATCTGGCTTTAAAATCATTCTTCGTGGACCCAATGTATATCATATTAGTATTAGGACTCTCAATGGATGAGATAGTACATTGGTATACCACAGATTTGATGCAGCATTTATTTTCTAATGGGCAGTCTTCTGGGTTTCTACAATCACATAATTTTTCACTGTTATTGTCTAATTTAAGTGTAGGGTTTTTATTAATACTATTTAAGCATGGGGGTTTGTTATTGTGTTTTTTTATTATACCTTCTAGATTATCAGTGCAGCTGTAACTCAATTTTAGGGTGTTCTTATTAAATATATTACTAAGCCTACTATTGGTGGGGAAGTGTTT